ACTATTCTGCTATTCTGCTATTCTACTATTCTACTATTCTACTATTCTGCTATTCTACTATTCTGCTATTCTACTATTCTGCTATTCTACTACGGCAGAATTAGTGTGAATAGGTGTATAATACATAGATTCTAGATGCTAATAAAAGTAATGCACAATTAATGCATCTAATGCATAATTAATCCACGTAATGCACATTTAATGGATAATTAATGCATTGAAGTGTAGAATTTTTTCTCACTTAGAATAGCAGAATAGTAGCGCAAGCGATTATTTCTAAGTCTAAGAAATTCACCCAGCCCTCCTAAAATCGAGTCTTATTTCGCGAGTCTTATAGCGATTGCGTCGCGACGCGATTTCATCGCGAAAGTTGACTTGGGGTGAAACGCATTCCAAAGCTTTTTCTCTGTCTTCCAAATTTTTAGGTTGTCTTTATTCAAAATAGTAGGATGCTCTCAATCAACTGCATACTTGAGATTTCTAAAGTATCAAACCGTAGAAGGTTTTACTGAGTTGTTGTCAGGATGTTTAGCAAAGACAGGCGAATGTTTCCATTGATCAACCAATCGATTGTCTCATAACTGTAAGTTCCACTGTCTACTTTGCTACGGTTTCATTTGTTCNTGCCGTTCTTTCACACTTTGAACCAACAAAATCAAGGGAATGTTAGTTTTCCTTATTATTTCGTTTCTAGTAGGAAAATATTCTTAAAAAATTGTCTTAGCTGTTTCACCTCACAGGTTCAGTTAATGGATAGGAAACCATTCATAAAATACCATTTAGTGATAACTCGAAGTTTGAATTATAGAGCACAGAAAGAAAATTCAAAGATACAAAAAACAATATGGTGCACGAGGGCAGGTTCGAACTGCCGGCTTCTGCATTACTTCACTGTTACTGTTTATAAGTACAGCACTCTGACCAACTGTTTGCCGAGAAAGATGCCGAGAAGAAGAAGAGGAAAAAGTTGACAGTCATTCTCGATCGCGCATTTCCTTCCTCTTATTCCACTGAACATAATGAAAGTACTTTGATAAAGTGGTTTTCAGCTTAGCCACTTGGACATTTTATACGCGTCGGATATTCTCCCTTAAATTTATCTCCTTTACTTTTTACAACAATACTTTTTATCACGTTTCGTAGAGAATTTCGCGGCGCATCTTTTGGGAAAAAATCAGGTCTAAGGATTGAAAAGAAAAAAGTTATAGTCAAAATACAGATCGGGTCAGAACTTATTGGACATCATTTATAGCCAGTTTTTGCCATTTTATATTGTCATCTATGCACTACACTGTTCGCTAGTACAATTAACTGACTTGTATCGTTCTTCTCTTGCTTTCTGAACACGATAGATATTGTTACCGATTTGAATAACTGATGCAGATCGCTGAGGTTTATTTCGATGCAATTCTATCGGGGTTAACATCTTCAATTAGAATCAGATTTCGGTTGATTAAATCGCGAAAAGCAATAAGAGCGATTGTAAAAACCAAACAAGCTGTTTGTACACAACGCGCCAACAAAATACGAAAATGGTTCATGCTCAGTCAGTTTCGTTGAATGAACAACTGTGCATGCAACTACAGCTGTTTATACAGATCGTGCCTATGAAAACGAAAGTATAAACAAAGTACCTGAAATGAGACTCTTCCAAAATGCGGCGATGAGAAAACACTACTGCGACAGTTTCACTTGTTTCTCACTAATCGCCCACAATTGTTCTGCGTATTTCATATTGAACGCTTCAGGTATTGTTCCTTGAATAGGACTCTGAAAAGAGTCTTCTGTATCACAGAACGAAACGTCTTCAGAATAATATCCACCGATCCCTTCTAATTCGGGAGCAACAGCAGCCCAAACGCTAGTCGCTGCGTCTTGTTGCGGTGTTTTCCGAACAATTTTGTCAATACCCGGAAAAACTGAAGCACGGAGTTTAGCATCTTCTTCGGTTAAGTGACGCTGTATAGGAGTAGTAATGGATCCGGGGTGTAATGCTTTAGCAGTAATGCCTTTGTCACTGTACAATTTATTCAACCGCTTAGCAAATAAGATGTTGGCTATTTTACTTTGCCCGTAGGCCTCCCACTTGTTGTAGGGAAACTTTCCGTTTATTATATACTATTATAATAAACGAAATATTATATCGTTTAACTATTTTTTCTAAGATCATCATCTTATTCTCATTTCAATTATGTTCAATGGAACAGAAACACGCTGAGCAAACAGCGCTCAATAGATTCAAAGCTCTCTTCGTGATTGCGACAGAAGACGAGCCGTGTGGTGCTGAAAAACGCAAGGTCATGGTAACGAAGAAGGAGGCTCACATCAGTTCAACTCAGGTCGAGCCTACATCGCGAGTATGTTCACAGAAGACGCGTGAATTAGAGACTTCTTCATTCATCTGCATTATCAAATAGTTTCACATTCAGGAGAAGTGTGAATTCATGTTCTTGTTCAACAGTATCTATCAGGTTGTTCAGTCAAATGATGAGGGCATCATTCGGTAGTATTTTCTTCTTTAGGTACATTGGTAAGAGTCGACATTGTAGATATTCGTCATCCAAATCCATATCAAAGCAGTTCAGAGAGGTACACGTGCTACGGATTTTTCTACATTATTTCATACAATACGATACCATGTTGATTTTTTCCAACTGAATGCTCGCTCTTTTGCATCCATGCTTGCCGCTGGCTCACATTATCCAACGATGTCTGCTCTTCTGATGTATTTCGAATTACGCAAAATATCTTCCATAATCTTGATATTATCTTCGAGTTACACGTATCCTTCCACTTTCACTGACTACCTTGAGGATGAGATCGAGCTGCCATTATCGCGATTTTATCCTAGCTACAGGAATCATCAGCGGGCTTGATCTCTGCGAGAAATATATATAAATTTGTTTAGTCGTCCAGCGTTTCATCATACCATATAGATCTGCATGAAATCGATCAAATCTTCGACGCACGTTCGACCGGATTTTTCAAAGAATTTTCACACTAAAATCCAGCGGCTCGTCATGGAAACGACCAGAAACTGTTGATGTTAGTGGCGACAGGCGTTTCATCATAATCGAATATGGAAGAAATCGACAGAACAAGTCAATAGGGATTTATTCTTAGTTTTTGTAGAGCTTTTCATAGCGCATCTTTTGAAAAGAAAACTAAGATTTTTTCATTTGTCTGTGCAGAGGTATTCGCAACACAAACTATGTTGCAAACATTTTGTGTCACCCAGTATTTCACAGTGTTTGATATTCTGACTATAACACCGTCATTACTCAACGAAATTCGAAATGTTCTTTCACCAAAATGATCAGCGAAAAAAGCTCTACAAAGTCTGATAAAGTAAAGCGTTTTCTGAATTTTGTGTGGTTGGCTGCCCATAGAAGTATCCTTTAAGAACAATATCATTGTGTATTTTTTTATGTCATTTTTTTCTTAGTACTGACGTCTGTTTTTCGAACAAGAAAAGAAGGAGCCAGCTGTTTGAATTAGAGAGTATGCATAATGATGATGAAGAGGTAGAAGAATTTGTTTTTATGCTTTTTATTTTTCAATACATAATATAGTAGTAGTGGTAATACCGATTGGAGAGAGAGCAGTAATTAATTTTCACTGAATGTGTATCTGACCTTTAACAATTCACAGTAAAAATTTGACCTCGAAATATTTCCAAGGGTCATCTTCACGTTAAGGGTCAAAACGTAGGTGTCCGTGCGTCCCAGACTTCTTCTGTAATTTTAATGATACAGACTTTGGAGTGGCGTCAAAAAATGTTTTGATAGTCCAAACGAAAATACATGATCGGCCAATCGGTCGGCCCGGCCAGATCAGAAATTTTTCGACTGGTTACCGGCCAGGTTGAAAAAATCTTGATCGTTACATCTATGAGCTGGTGAGCTTAAAAAGTAGAAAGGTCCAACTTTGTGCGTCGAATACTTACCCTCACGACATCATTCGTCTTTACTTCCTCATCCACAATCAAGTCTCCTCGCCAGTTTTCGTCCGGTTATTCGCTACGCCTGATTTCGGAGCAGATGGATAGACACCGGTCCTTTTTGTTTCAGGTAGAAACAGTCTAACTGTGCTGTTCCGTCCTCCCATGCAGAAATTTTTCAGCGAATTTCTGCGTTAAACATTGAAATAACGCAGAAAAGAGCGACTTGCGTACACAATTTTGCAAAAAGGTCAACTAACGCAGACTTGTGTCGATAATCTTTTTGTTACTTTTTGCAAAAAATATGATATTTTTATTCTAGATTTTTGCAAGGAACAAAGTTTTGCAAAATTATTCAACCAAATATTTACAAACTTTTGTATTAGTCCAAAATTAGTAAAAATTTGGCGTGTTTTCGCTAAATAAAATGTTTCTTGAAAACACTGCTAAATTTATTAATAAGACGCGTATATGTCTCTTTTAAAAAGTAACATCTCATACAAAAATAGTAGGGTGCATAAGATCAGCAACACTATCTTTTGTCGCACAATGACTAAAGAAAATCAAAGACCACAAGGGCTTGCTTAAGATGTGCTAGCCCCAAAAGTTATCGTACGACAAATTATACATTTCCATCTACTATCTTTTTCTGATTCTATGACTTGTTATTTCAGCAAAGCAGCATAAAATAGCATGGAATGTAGAAAAGTTCAATGAAAATCAAAGGTTTAATGCAAGCTCGCGCCTAGCCGTGCCCCACCGTGTCCTAACCCAGCGAATGATTAGAAAATGACGAAGTTGGGTTTCTAAGGGGAATCTGCCAGAAAACGTACATATACGCTTTGTAACTGACCGTAGAGTGTACGTGAACGCTTTGGAATTAAATGCAAAGCGTATAAAGTCATTAAATGTGCCTATTATTGCAAGAAAGAAAAAAAAGATTGTTATTCATTATTCTGTTTTAATGGAATCAAATTCAAACACAAAATAAAGAGTGTTTTGAACGACATTTTTGGTGTTTTCTCGTTCGTGTTCTATCTAAAAATATATCGCGACAAAATAGCGATCGCTAAAATCGAGTCTTATTTCGCGAATCTTATAGCGATTGCGTCGCGACGCGATTTCATCGCGAAAGTTGACTTGGGGTGAAACGCATTCCAAAGCTTTTTCTCTGTCTTCCAAATTTTTAGGTTGTCTTTATTCAAAATAGCAGGATGCTCTCAATCAACTGCATACTTGAGATTTCTAAAGTATCAAACCATAGAAGGTTTTACTGAGTTGTTGTCAGGATGTTTAGCAAAGACAGGCGAATGTTTCCATTGATCAACCAATCGATTGTCTCATAACTGTAAGTTCCACTGTCTACTTTGCTACGGTTTCATTTGTTCTTACGTGGGTGACGAAGTTTTTATAACTAAGTGACAATCGCTGAAAATGGCACATTTTTTGTAAAACTGGGCTTCAATACATTTTTAAATCTAATCCTCGATCATTTTGAAGAAAACTTGGAACACAACTGACTCCTTCACTAAATGCATATAGCGCGACATAACTCGGGTGTTTTTTATGCTCTTTATTCGGAAAACTATGCAAAACATGCCGTTCTTTCACACTTTGAACCAACAAAATCAAGGGAATGTTAGTTTTCCTTATTATTTCGTTTCTAGTAGGAAAATATTCTTAAAAAATTGTCTTAGCTGTTTCACCTCACAGGTTCAGTTAATGGATAGGAAACCATTCATAAAATACCATTTAGTGATAACTCGAAGTTTGAATTATAGAGCACAGAAAGAAAATTCAAAGATACAAAAAACAATATGGTGCCCGAGGGCAGGTTCGAACTGCCGGCTTCTGCATTACTTCACTGTTACTGTTTATAAGTACAGCACTCTAACCAACTGAGTTACACGGGCCCATTGAACCTGTAGATGTTTCGATATATCATTGTTCATATCACAAGGTTTGCTAAGTATCTACAAACTCTAATGTTCGAAGACAGGCGTTTTGTGTAGTCTTTCGTTCAATTCCAAACATTTTCGACAACATTCAAAAGCTTTTCACCAGTTAAGTGTTGATTTTATATTGTGTCTGAAGAAGGAAGAAGAGATAAAAATGCTAGAAAAATCCCTAGTTGAAGATCCATCGCTGTGGAACAGTTGATAACCCTTTTTCCTTTTCTAGAAATCTCGATTTTTCGCATTGTACTTTCTAAAAAAAATAGGCAATTTAAAAAACCCAAACGGTTTTTCATTCCTGTTTCTAAACCCAAAAGGGTATAGTAGCACATTTGAGAAACCATTTGAGGGTTTTGTATCGTTACTAAACCGGTTTGGTTTTTTAAAATACTTTTTGGAAAAGTGTTTTAAGATAATAAAGCGTTAGCTACAACAATAAACCAGCGTTGTCGCTAACTGTCGCTGCCTTTCTTGTTTCTCGCTGGTCAGCTAGATAGTCACATTCCTTTCATTTTCGTTCTTGTTTCTTTCTCTC